CGATATTACAAGTATTCATTGTTTGCACGACAGATTTGAACTATACGTGTAATTTGTCTTATGTCTTTTATTTAATTTAACATCAGAATTGGAGATACAAAGTGATAGAGTGATCAATTCAGGAATAATAAAGGCTGCATTTCTGTTTAACCGTGGCGCAATTGAATAACGAAATATTTGAAAAGTAGAAGGATTCGCTATATTCGTTTTTAATCGCTTTTTGGCACAATTTAAGGATAATTGTGCGTACTAGTTCAGTGAATCATTTAGATGGAATTAAAAGTTAGAGTTGCCAAACTTATGCAGGGGAGTGTAAGTTTGCAAACTTCGACATTATTCATGGCCGTTTGATCCATAATTAGGTAATATGAAGAGTAGAGTTTTATTTTGACAATGATTTGATGTAAAACTGGTTTGAATGATAAAAGTTCAGCTTTGTAGTTTCTAGCTTTTTGCGCGTAAAACGTGAATACAATGGACAACAACGACACCAAATCTTTGACTAACATACGTTAATAACGTATAATATTCATAAGAATGAATTCTAATAACATTTGAAATAAACATCTAATAAAATGTGGTGAATTTAATTGGTTGGAAACTCTAAGAAATATATTTTTAAAAAGATGTCAACTTTTGGACAAGGGTAAACTTCCCGGGACATTTACAATCTGCATGAGGTAACAGGAGGCACGGATTGCACTGAACGAAGGCTAGGAGATTGCTAATCAGCACTGATGTGTTATACAGGTAAGACTGCCCGATCAACAAAAAACATTTCGACATATCAAAAACATAAATCAAATAGCTCAAAAATAATGAACATTTATGCAATTCCGGCTTTATTTTATTTTACTAGAGAGATGTCAGACCTATAAATAAAGGCATATGGATGCATAAATTCATCTATAATTCAGGATAAACTGAGATTGAATAATGTTTTAAACCCGTTTTAAACATTTAAAAATTTAACTCTTTAAAGACTGGGTCAGGACCCACGTACGTGGGTACGAGGGTACGTGGGTAGGAGGTTTTTTATATAAAGCCTACTTCTGGAGCTATCTCAGGAGCATCTGTGCTCACAATTCCTCCACAAGATATTGCAAAACCTCAAGAAAGAATTGCCCACTGGCTGCTTTTCTCTGCTTTAACCCACAGATGACTCAGGGCCGGCTGAACCATGCATGACGACAGATGAGCGCATCTTTATGTGCAAGGAAGTGGTGGCAATTTGGAGGGGTATAGGAAGTATTCTTGCAAGAGTATGAGTATGAACACTTTACTGTCTATGTCACACCTCCTGTCACACCTTCTTCCAATAGCCCCTACGCCCCCGTTGACGTTTGCAATGTTTAAAACTTGGGTCTGAGCTGAATTTTGCCCCACTTTGCAAAATAAATGATTATTCGGCCAGCCATGACTGATATGAATGATATTCCATTGCAAAGGAGTAATTTAGCTTTTTGGTACATTTAATGTTTTCATGTGATTATAAACATTTTCTGGTGTCAAAAGTATGTATGATATGACTATAAATGTATAAAGAGGAGATATATAATGACTATACGCATGGATATACTTTATTTACGTGAAGTTGGATGGATTTCATGTGAGGTTTTGTGGACTTGATTTTCAAAACTTTTCCAAGATGGCGTCAATCTCAGATTTGGATCCCTGTATGGACAGACTACTCAGCAACGTCGAGTGTTCACCAAGATATGATATAGTCGAGCAAATAATTATGGACCACGATGAGGATATTATAGATGAAGCTAGGACACACCTGTTCGACTTGGTGAAAAAGTACCTTAGTACCGTGTGTGAAGATCGTTATGGACCCCTATCTGCCCGAGGGGAGGATCAAATCGAGGATATATGTATCAAACGCAGAGCGGGCGAGAAGAAAATGATCAGTAAGGCGAATGATATTTACGATATGTATGTGTATTTAAGAGGCTTAACTGACTCTTTTCCACGAAGCGTTCTTGGATCGACAAGTCGTGTGCCTGATGGCCTTGGGCGGAGCACGGACGTACAACGTGCAAATGTGAGTGAACGAGGGGGAAGCGCCGCTAGCAGCAGTGGAACAGAAGCTTTAGCTCAGGTATGCATTTTGACTGCAGCAAATGAAGAGCTCAATAAAGAGCTACAACAACATAATAAACAGTTCTCGAATCTTAAAAGTCAACTTGACCAGCAATCGAAACAGATTGAGGAGCTCACATCTGAAGTTGACCGACTTCGTTTACTGAGTGTGCCTTCATCCATAGCCAAGCAACTACAGCAGATATCTAGTCCTATAAAAGGTACACATGTTTCAACCTCTAATCCCGAAGTTTGCCAACCACCCGGGGTTTTGACCGCAAATCCCGATGCCAAAACATGTAAAGGTGACCCAATTTCCAGTAAATCAGCTGATGCACCAAAAGTAAACAATAATAAACCAGTGCAACCGAGTGCCGTACCCCCGTTTCCATCTAGTGGAAGGGGTAGGGGCAGGGGCCGAAATATCTCCGCACCAGAGCCCCGCGAACCTGGTATAAGGCCGACTAGTGTACTTTCCCGACAAGACAATACACATACATCTCCAGGGACACGGTCCAATCAACGTGATGTTTCATTTGCGTCCGATAGAGGTGATCGGATCCACTGGGCAACAAGAGCCCTGGGTAGATGTTGTACGTCGTCACAAGAAACCTCAAAACAAGAGCCCAATACCTGCGACTAATTCAACCATAAAGCCAGCTGGCCCAGCGAGAGTTTTACGTGGAGTCAATCGCGAAAAGGGATATACGCTTTACTTGGAGAACATCGAGATGCAAGACGGAGAATCTGACGAGGATATCAAACATCAAGTTATAGCCCAAGCGAAATTCCAAAATATCCGTATCATGCAATGTTATGTTGTACATAACAGAGTATCCCAATATAGGGTCGGATGCAAGATAGTAGTGCCAATTACTTCTGCGCATCGAGCTCAACTACCAGAAACTTGGCCTCTGCCCATAACGTGTCGTGAATGGGTTAGACGTCAGGGCCATAATAATGCCCAAAAGTTCACAAATGACACATTTGATCATGATGATATATATGAATCTACAAAAGAATATGATAAAGTGCAGTATAGAGAGTGGCATTCCAGGATGATCAATGATAACTATTATGAATAGTAAAAGTACCAATTTGAGAATATGTGGATGGAACGCTAATGGTCTACTTTCATCGAAGCCGTTTCTTAAGCAATTAACTGACACACATGACATAATTTGTGTAAGTGAACACTGGTTAAATAATTCAATGAAACACCACCTAGATGTAAATTATGATTTTATGTGTGATATGAGCTGTAGTAAATCACTTGAACCTTTAGACCAGGGTTACACCTTAGGCAATGGTGGCATTGCTATACTATGGCGTAAGTCTTTGAGTAATTTTGTGCAAAAGATGCCCAGGTTTAAACTTGAACGAATAATGGGTATCAAAATTTGTATGCCAAAAATGATTTTATATGTTCTATGTGTATATTTACCCTACGAGGGATGTGTAAAGGCAAACTTTAGAGAGTGGCTAGATGTACTTGATGAAATTGTAACTCATTTACAAAGTGATGGTAAGGTTGTTATAATTGGTGATATGAACTCTGATTTTGGAAATATCTATAATGTAAGAGGCGCGTATCCGCCATCTTGTAATGGTATGGCTCTTAATAACATGTGTTTACGACAAGGTCTTAAGGTGGCAGATCTAACATCACTGTGTACTGGTCCAACATATACTTTTTCCCGTCATTATACTGGTCAATCATATATAGATCACTGTTTGGTCACAGAAAGCCTCTACAGCTCGTGCAACAAAATAGCAATAATGGAAGATGAACTGATCAATACGTCTGACCATCTCCCGATTTCTATTGAGCTATCTTTAGGGACCCACCCCTTAAAAAGTACAAAAAGCATACTGTCTGTAAACGTTCCCAGTAAATTGTCGTGGAATAAAGCATCCGATGAAAATAAAGCGAATTACAGATCAGTTTTAGAGCCTAAACTGGATCTTCTCTACCAAGAGGTGTTTAGCGCCTCGGACACTTTGACTAATTTAGAAATTGATATATTTTTTGAAAGGCTAACGTGTCTCCTTAAGGAGGCCGCAAACGCTTCAATTCCAAGAACACGATATAAACCATCTCTAAAACCTTACTGGTCAACAAGGCTTAACGTTCTAGTCAAAGATAAGAAGGCGTCCTGGGTAAAATGGAGGAACGCTGGCAAACCTAGGGATAACGATAATGAAATATGCAGAAACTACAGAAAATCGAAGAAGGAGTTCCAAAAAGAAATGCGACGGGCGGAATATGAGTACCAAATTCAACTACAAGAAGAGATAGACAGGGCCTCCGAAATATCCATTAAGCATTTTTGGTCACTTGTTAAAAATCGGAGAAGGGGTAAATCAGGACCAATCTGTATCAGAGGAAATGATGGGCACGTCTTGACAGACCCTAATGAGATTAGAGAAGACTGGCGCAGATACTTCGCTAAACTAGTGTCCTTTAATGAAAATGAACAATTTGATAGCGACTTTCGGTCCTACATAGATCAGGAAGTTCGTAACCTTTCAAATATATATACTGACGGTGAATCTGATGCTTTTAAACAAGAAGTAACAGAGTGTGAGATGACGTCACTGTGTAAGAAGCTATCCAGCAATAAAGCACCAGGATGGGACGAAATTAGTTCCGAGCATATCAAATTTGGAGGAGAAAAGCTCATCGCCACCTTAACCAAGCTTTTCAACTATATTGTGCGTACAGAATATGTTCCCCAAAGCTTCAAGACTGGCGTCCTGATACCGCTCTTTAAAGGCGGTGACAAAGATGTCCTTAACAAAGACAATCACAGAGGAATCACGCTGATGTGTACGTACATGAAATTGCTGGAAGGATTAATGGCTAAGAGGGACCAAGAGTTTCAGGACTTGGGCATTCACCAAATAAAGCATGAGTTACAAGGAGTGAACAGGAAGGGGTGCTCCAGTTTACATACTTCACTTGTAACACGGGAAGCCATTGCCTACGGCCTAGAGAGGGGCAATGACGTCATCGTTGTGGCATTAGACATTAGAAAAGCCTTCGATGGAATTTATCACAACGGGCTGTTGTACAAGATGTACCAACAAGGAATAAGAGGCAAACTCTGGAGAATCCTAAGAAATGCATATGATGGATATACCTGTGCTATACGGATTGGCGGCTGTAGTGAGATGTCCGAGCCCTTCCTTGTCGAACAATCGGTTCATCAAGGAGGAATCTATAGTATGGAATTGTACTCAAAATACACCCATGGTCTGATAACTGAGGTATGTGACAGTGGTTTAGGGTCAACAATAAGTGGAATTACTACAACGATCCCAACATACGCAGATGATACCATTCTTATAGCGTATCACAAGTCTATCATGCAACAACTGCTTCACATACTTTATCAATACAGTGTAAAGTGGAGATTTAGCTTTCATCCAAATAAATGTAAATCAATAGTCTTCAGTAAAGGAAGAAATGTATTAAAATGTGACTTAACAATAGGTGGCGATATTATCCCGACTGTGTCAGAAATAGAGCATCTGGGTCTCCCTTTATCACCGACGACTAACCAGTTCATAGATGATCGGATAGCCAAGGGCAGGAGGACGATCAATGCGTACGTAGGTGTAACATCGAGCCCTACGAATCCACCTAACCCCCTTACCATTTCAAAGCTGTATTGGACAGTAGCCATTCCCTCTATGCTTTACGGTTTTGAAGTAATTCCTCTGCATGAGAATGACTACAGGAAGCTAGAGGATGGACATAGAGCTATTGCCAAGAAATGCCAAGGACTACCTAAGAACACAAGTGATCCAGCTGTCTTGGCACAATTGGGTTGGCATAACATAGCGTACAAGATCAGTCTAATGAAATTATTGTTCTTATGGAGTCTTTTAGCATTGCCCATTGGGAACATTTACAGAAGAATTTGCATCATACGTATCATTCAAATGAGTGCTGCCAACCTTAATGTACAGTCTCCTTTACGTGACATAATGAACACATGTGTTAAATACGGTTTATGGTCGAACGTTATGAATATGGTAAAATTTGCAATTGTACCCTGTAAGTTACAGTGGAAACGAATGGTCATTGAAAAACTTAAAGACTATCATATCAATGAGTGGCATCTTAAGTTGTTAACGTATAGAAAACTCAATGTTTACAGAGATGTTGTAACAGAGATCAAGCCCATTTCATGGTGGGTAGTTGCTCGGAAATACCCTAGACTAGTGAAACATTGCCGCCTAATGGTAATGCTTCTGTGGGAGAGGGAAACCTCCAAGTAAATGTAGGCCGTTGGAATAATACACCAACTTATCTTAGACTGTGCCAAATGTGTGAGAATTGTATAGAAACGTTATCCCATATGTTATTTGAATGTGAGGCTTTAAGTGAAGCGCGAACTCCATTAATGGACTTGATGAGGGAATATGGAGTTGTAGAATTTAATAACACCAATCAAAAACTTAATTTCATTTTCGACGAAGGTCAGATCCTAGATGACAATGAACTAATCTTAATTGTGACAACCGTATTTAAAATGTACACTATGCGTCCAAATGAGGCATAAGTGGTCTGATAGTCAACTTTTGACAAAATAACACACAAATGTAATATACATGTAATTTTAATCTGTACTATAAATCTTATCTCACATTACATAATGTTTAAATGTAAATGATAATTTCATATGTATTATATGTTACTAAACTAAATTATAAAATGTACTCATCAAAAATGATGGATTAATAAACATAATAATAATAATAATAAAGGATGCAGTCAGCATCAATTTTATGTTTTCTTCCAATATTGCATCGGGCTCCGTACACTGATTTTTGCGATGTTTATAACTTGGTACAAAGCTAATTTTGGCCCACTTTGCAAATGGAATGATTACTCGCCCAACCATGACCAAATATCAATTAATGA